ACTGAGGATGTTTAGATATTACAAAATGACTTGTAAGTTGGATCAATTTGTAAGTTGACAGATATTTAGGCAAATGGCCTTTAATTATAGCTTATACTAACTCCAAGGTCATTATGGATTATCATAATTTGGATTACATGTTTAATATAGATGGGAACCCACTCAACAATGTGAGAGAAGAAATGGATTAGGGCAATGTTCTGATGCTAGTAGTGAAACTAATAGAATTTGTAGACATTCTGATTACTATTAGGCTTCACTTGGAATAATGAGTACATTTTTGAACTTATTTAAAAAAGAATATTGACTTGTTGAAAAGGGTTAAACTTAGATCTACTGGGATGATTCCGAGGATGGAAGGGTTATCTTATAGGAATAGATTAAGATCTTGTCACTTCTCTTGAAAAAGTAGAGTAACAGCTATCTTATCAAAGTTTACAAGAGAACCTAGGAAAATGATAGGATGAAAAGATACTTGGCTTAGATTTGGAAAAAATAAGGTAGGCTTCAGTTAACACCTTTTCTAACAAAGTTATTAGCTTCTGGAATTAATTTTGATCAGCAATAGTTGAGGCTTGCACCTTACAAGAGTTTAAGAGGGAAAAGTAAAGGGTGGATTTGAATTTTTACTTTTTTCTGAGAGTGGGTCTACAAGGACAACCTTACTTAAATGACCAAATGATCCATTGTTGTCCATGTGTTATATCAATATATATTTGTCAACAAATTTGATAACTTGTATACATTAACTTGTATTGTTTAAGATGGAGGTATTCATATTTTACGTGTACAACAGAATGAGAAGACAAAATATCATTATTTCCTTCTCTTGATGTAATCTATCTAGCACTTGAGTGAATTTACAGTATTTTATTCTAATGTTAACAAGAGACCACTTGGATTATCCCATTTTTCACTTGCACCCTATTCCAAGTTGTGTAAAGAAAACTCTTTCCTTATATTCAAACCTGGGCACCAAAATATTCATCCTGTTTCCTCTTAAGCATTTTTAAATGTTGCAGTTTCTAATACACTGAAGTTTTCTCATTTAGGTATCTGCATGCTAAATGTGCATGACTCTTATCAACAGGAACAAAAACATTAACATAACATATGGACAGCAAAGAACTATTTGGTCCTTCTTGCACATCAACCCTTGAGATAAGAAAATTTTAAACCAACCTTTTATTTTTAAAAAAATCATAGTTTTCTGAAACTTGTGTAAAGTTCTGGCCTTCACTATTGCTAGTGACAACTCATTCCATAACTCAGTCACTCTGTTGAAAAAATAAAACTGTCTTTACTGGACTCTAGTCTTCCTTTTCTAGGTCTTAAGCTAGTATCCTGTTATCCTTAGAACATAGCATAAAAAAATCAGAGTGTTCACAACATTAGAAAAGACTTAGTGAGTGAAGGTCATTTAGTCCATTAAGTACACCAAACAAAGAAACTAGATTGGACCTGCAATTCTATAGCTTGTGCTTATTTCTTTTAATATTTAAAATCTCATCCTCATCTGTATCCTTTCAACACTCCACCCTTCTGTAGAGCTGTGTACCTAAGCATCTAATCATTTTAAAACATCTAAATCATATCACCTGAAGTTTATATATATGTTCCAGATAGTTTAAGTAACTGAAATCGGGAATATCATGTTAGTAGTTTATCTCTGAACTTTTTCCAATAAAATTTGGATTTTATAATAAGTAAGTCAAAGAAGAAGAATATTTTAAATGAGGCCTTATCAACGTTTTGTGCTATGTCAATGATCTCCTTAGTCCTGAACTCAAAATTTCTTTGAATAGGTGCCGGAACGAAAAATTACTCTTTGGATCACGTCTAAACATTCAGGCTTGAGGCTTTTACCAATCTAAACACCAAATTCTTATGGTTCTTCACATTGGATAATTGTTAGTTTGTTGAACTGTAGAGCAATATCTTACAGGTTCACATCATCATACCACTGAACACTCTCCACACTTTCAACTGTGATCACATTATGAAAGTGACAGTCAATCTCTTCTTTGTCCCAAAGAGCCAAATAAAGCTGTTGTGGTGATAATTTGGTGCTAATGGCCCAACCTAATCCCTAGAGGTCTTTTAGTTTTACCTTTTTTATGTAGCCACGTGTACCTGAAATGGCATTCAGATTGATTATTTTAATTCCTTTTCACTTATCAGGACACTGATATTTACCCCTAAAGGAAATTACATAATAGTAGTACATTAATTTTGGCTGGATGTAAAAAAAATAAGATTTTTATCCAATCTCAAGTTTTGGTGATGTTTCCAGCTGAGAATAAGTGGAAGTGGCCAAATCCATATATGATTTTTCATAAATTGAAATAGTTAAAATTTGAGCAAATGAGTTATTGCAAATAGTTCTAGCAATTTCAGGTTCTTAGACAAATATTAAACAGTTATGTACTGTTTTTTATTTGTGAACTGTCTAGGGTAATGAGTTTTTGCCTTTATAATGTACATACTAATTCACTGTGTGTGTACTCATCTCTTTCCAATGGCTTATTTGGACAAGTTTCAAGAAAAAAGAAATTTTCTTGTATTAAGTTAATAAATTATGGAAACTAGCATCATTTTTATGTTTTTCTTGAACTGAGAAAATCAGCAGGTTAGAGAGGGAGTTATATAGTGAGCTTTGGTAATTTATTTTAAGAAGAAAAGTTATAACAAAAAAACAAAAGATATTGGCAGGACTATGTAGGGTGACAAGAAAAGATAAAGAAAGTGTTATAGAACTAGTTTTTTTTGTAAGGTGATTAACAGCCAACATAATACAAGCCAAAGAAAAGTAAATGAACATTTCATAAATTATCACAGTTATATAGCTTGCAGTCAAAAGCTCACAATTACAAGAACAGAGTTTATGAATAAATCTAGTTGTGCTTGACATATTACTTTCTTGTGTACTTTAACTCTTTTAAGTTCTTATAAATCCAGATGTTTAAAACAGCTAAAAATGTTATGTGAGTTATGATGGAATTGTTCTAATATATATAATCAAAAATGTATAAATGAGAATAAATAAATAAGCATATGTATATAACATTTTTATCAATACTGTTAATGAAACTAAAGAAAGAGTGGAACTTGTAAAAACATATAAACTAATTTGCTTGGTAAGTGGCCTGGCATGTCCTGGTGGTTAGGGTGCTAAACCCACAATTTGAGGGTCACAGGTTCAAATCTCTATCACACAGAACATGGAAGTGGGTAATGTTGACTAGGTGCCTTCCTTCTAGTCTATCACAGATAGCCCTTGTGTAGCTTTGTGAGAAATTCAAACCAGACTAAACCCTTGAAAAGCCTATAATATATTTAGCATTATTATTAGCCCCATTTCTAAAGCATTCATACTGTGTGCTAATTGTTGCTCGTGACTCCATAACATTATGGAAAATAAATTCCAAATCTGACATTCTGGACTACATGATATTTTAGACCTTCAGCTTTCTTAATTAACATGCTTACACATAATAATGAATAACACTGTTAAATGTGACTTGCAGTCACTGATGAAATCTTTGAATTTCATGCTGGATGAACATAAGTAATACAACTAATTGTTCTACAATTATCTAAAAGCTAACCTGAAATTGATAATGGAGAGATTTTGTGATGTATCAAAAGCTACTAGTTATATTTCTTTCTCATATGTGTCTGTGGCATTACATTTAATATTTTTTAACTTTTTAAACACATTTACCAATTATCTTCACTTTTACTTCGTTTGTTTTCTGTAATGAACAAGAAGAAAGTTTAGTATCTCCAGCATCCATACTGTTATTACAGAATTAACCATGTTACTTTTATTCACTCACCATGAACTGTATCTTTGGGAGAGAGTAAACATGAATAAAATTAGTACATTTCCAGAGTGAAAAACTAGGATTTTTTCCCCCCTGTATGGAGTGACACTGTAGCAGTTCTTAAACAGTTTAAATTACAATAACATATTTTTTACCATTGCCAAGTAACCTGATGTTTATTGCATCATGTTTTACAATCATAGACCAACCAAATTTCTTAAAACTTATCTAGTTGTAAAGTTATAATAAAAGGTATGTTTATTCAGAAGAAAAATGCTGCTTCTTCGTTTCCTTTTTCATGGATGGGCAGGTCTTAAAATCTCGATTCCTTCTGCTGACCAATAATAGGTTAGGTTCAAAAAATGTAGCAGAGAGGGAGAGAACACTGTACCATGTGATCTATCTTTGTCAGGGGATTATGTAAGTAAAATTTAAAGGAGCCATATATAGAGACAAATTGTACATATCAAACTTGCATTGAGTTACACGTACAATTTAATACTTTTACTGTTTCTGATTGGGACAACAAAAATGCTATAAACCAGGATGATCCCAGTTGTACTGGGACATCAAGTATCCCCAAACATGACTTAACTATTAAATATAAAGCATTAAGATTATTAATAACTTTGACAACTGAATGAACTGTTTCAGTCTCATTCAAACGTTTATTATTTTTCCTGGGTGCTATGAACGAAAACAGTTACGAGATTCACACTTAGTATTTAGTGCTGAACTCCCATTTGTATAACTGTATTCTTCAAAATCATTTTCATCTTTTAGTATATGAAAGGGGTAAAAATTCCTACAAATTGTTGAAAGGCAGTAATAGAAATGATAATATTTACTGCAGAAAAGAGATTCGTGTTTACACCTCATTCACACTACCTTGTCATCACCTAAACTTATGGAAGAACAGTTTTTGCTGCTCAATGATTGACAGCTTTAAGTTCCTCTAGACTTATTAATACATGTAACACGGATCTACCAGTAGATCCAACATACTCCGTAAGAATGAACTACGGGTCTTTTTTTTTTTAAATAGCTTCATAAACGATAGCAGTCTGCACAAAATTGATAGAATTAAGTACATCTAGCTTATACTTGTGTATTTAGCCTTTGACTTTTTTGTAATGTGTTGTAGTAAACCTAATACTTTTCCTTCACAAAAGAAAGCTTATCTTTGAGATTTTGTATTCCCTTTCTTAACTTTCTCAACTATTCTGCTTGTTTTATTTGTACTACAATTCTAAATACAAATTCAAATGTTTCTTCTAACAAATACATCATTTGGTCATTCTGAGCTACTTAAAAAACTAAAAGGAAACCCAGTATTTCAAAAAATAACCCCCATACTGCAGTAAACACTAAACACCTATTGGTAAAATATTTCCTTAAGTGCATACATTTAATATTGTTGATAAAACAAATACATGAAATGGAAAAATTAGAGAAATAAAATCAGAATCACAAAAACTTGTGCTTCAGAAACTTGAGTAAAAAAAAAATTATTTTATAATATGTTGTGTTTTATCCCTGTTAGTTTATAATGTAATTGTGGGAAAAACAGATCACAATTGTAGTGGTTACTGTGATTTTTTAAAATTTATGCTTTAAAGTTGTACAGTCTAACTTTGAGAACTACCGAAATATAGTGTGGAATTAATGTTAATACTAAAGGTTCTAAATAAGTTGTTTTTTTTTCCTGTTCTATCTATATGAAGAAGACTGATACTTCAGAGAAAACTGTAAATTTTGCAGTCCTCAGAGATGGCGGATTATTACTCTATACTTGACATTCCCCGTACAGCAACTAATGATGACATAAAAAAAGCGTAAGAAGACTTTTCTGTTGTTTTTTTATCAGTTATATACGTCTTTGAATGTAGTGATATTTGTATAGTTTTTACCTCAGTTTCTAGTAAGTTCTTGTAATTTTGGTTGAAAAGATATATATTCTAACAATGTTTTGATGTTTTAGTTTTAATGTCTTGGTCTATAATAAAACAGTTCTGGTAATTACTTACTAATGAATAGAACCAATGAATAGTTTCAGACTACTAACACTGTAAATAGTCTCAGTGGGCATACTTTTCAAATAAATAATTCTACAGAAGGAAATCCATTTAAGAACATTTATGTGAAATTCAGTAGTTTAACATCTTGGACATTCAATCTCTGCTTTTAGAAAATACTACTTATATCTCTACACAACAGTTATTACATTTCACTGCTGCTGTAAAGATTTTTGTGCATGCTACAAGTCTTGAATGAAGTTTTCACCTGAGACAAGTAGTGACTTATATTACACCAGCCTATGATTAAACCATCAGTGGGAGAGCAACATATCCTCCATGCACAGTAATTGCCAAATTCGAATGGAAGATTGCAAGCTGGAAATAGAAAATGAGCTCTTTCTGTTGATAATAAATATGTATATCAAATAAGAAAGCATGGTTTCTGAAAGGTAAAATTGCCTCTGAACACAGTATCTATTCCTTGTGCATCTGCCTTTGAGATTTTGTACATGTCACTAACCTTGAGCATCTCCCACATAAGACAAATGTTATAACATGAACTGCACTAGTGCATGATGAAATCATCATGTAACAATAGTCCTTCACCAATAGGAGAGCAACAGATCCTCTATGTGCAGTAGATCCTGATAAACATCTGCACTAAAGATTAATTTCATTCTTATCCTTAGTACTGTTTTAACTGGGTGGGTTTCTTTAAGGTTAAACTTAATCAGTTTCATGAGATTTGCTTTGAGTTTTCACAGTGTTAACTTTCTTTTTTATTTTTGACTTAAAGCTACATCACCACTAAATAACTTATATTATATAAAATTATATTTATAGAATTGCTACAACAACCAATGAATTCTCACATGATGATGACTAATGCTTTCTCCCGAGATTCTGCTGATGTTGCTAACACTGCCCCTACTTTCTACTTTGTTTGTGGCCACTGGAAGCTAGTTGACTGTGGAAGAGGTTACTCTCATAGTTCATCATGTTGTGGGTTCGTTGATACTTTCCCTGCCCCATATCCCTGTTCTAATGTCTGAAGTTTATTCTCCTCTTTTTGAACTGAACCACAAGGTTTACGATGTTTATTGGCTCTTTCCACCTTCTGGGTTTTTGATAGATTTCTCTTTATCTGCTGAGGACAGTGTTCTTCCTCCACATTTCTTTATGGATGTGATTAGTCAGGTTTGTTCTTTACTTTTCCTTTCTCCTCTTTGTTTTGATTCTTCCTGTTCTTTATCACATGACTTTCAGGCAGAGGATTATTGATTTTTCCTCCTCCCCTAGACGTGTGTCCATGTTGACACATTCTTGGATCAGCTTTGTTTCCACTCTTGAATATCTTGTCCTTTTTGACTCCAGGATTCCTTTACTATAGCTTATGGCCATTCCCTTTTTCTGTTCTTGGATTCCCAATCCATGGAGTCCATTCTACCCACTTGGAATGCTGACCACCTGTCTCCAGTCACACACTTTAGCACTCAATTTTCCTGTCTCCATCTTTACCTGTCATCTCTTCATCCCCTATCTGAAGCCCTGTTGGTTCTTTTCAATACCTTAGCCAGGATTCTTGTCTCTGCTTATTTTGCTACTCTATTGAGATATTCTGGGATGTGATGCTCTTCTCTCTACTATTTGTCTTCCTCATTTTTACCTTTGTTTAGCTCTTTTTCTTCACCCTGGAGTCTTCAGGGTCAATCCTAATGCTTTGAAGACAGGCCAAGGATGTTCAACACCAGTCCTCCTTTTCCTCCTTGGTTTGATGTCTCTCACAATCTCTTGAGTCCACTTCCATTCTTTGACCCAGTGAACCTGTTACTTCTCTCTTTTCCTGTTTCTTGTTCATCTACCACTTCTTGGCATCCTCACTCCTGTTGGATTGGCTGTCATACATCTTGTTGGTGACTTCCTCACATTGTACCAAGTTATATGGGGTCCAATAGGGGCATGTCTGTTTCTCTTTGCAGACCTTTGGACATTTTTTTTTACAGCTGATTGGTTGGTCATCCAGGTTCTTGCACACAGCCTTTCACTTCATTTCTGTTATTCCACTGTTCTCTTTTCTTGTTCCTTTTCCTTCTTCCAATCCTCAGTATCTTCTGTGTCTCTAGGCTGTGATATCAGATCTCTTAGACATGAGAGCCATCAAGAGGGTCCTTTGCCTTTCTCTAATGTTTTATACTTGCCAATTTGTTGTCTCCAAAAAGAATGGGGATTGATGTTCTGACAGCGTCCTTTCTTCTCTCAACCATTATCTGATGGTTCCTCAGTTCTAGATGGAGAAGTTTCTTCCTCTCTGTTGATCCTTTTCCCCGGATTGTGGATTCCCAAGGTCGATGTCTTGAATGCCCTTCTACACAATTTGTTATACCCATTGTTTCATTTGTTGGGATCAGGTGTGCTAGTTTGAACTCTCCTTATTGGCATAATTTCGGCTCCTTATGTGTGTGCTCACCACATCCATAATCTTGGACTTCATTTGCACTATTATTTGGACAGTTGGGTCTTTCTTGCCTCTTCTTGGCCATGTCACTTCCCCTCCAAGAGGTGGCTCATTTGGATTGGTTGATCAAGTTTTCTTTGTTGTTGTGCTGATTCAAATTTAATACTTGGTCTACCTTGGAGTCCTTTTTTTATTATTGACTCAGTCAGGCTCAAATTTCTTTCATTCAGCTTCAGGACATGGAGTGTATGGTCACATTGACTCTTGCCTCTATACTTCCTGCTTAGGAAACTCTTGTGTCTTGTCCTTCTAGACCTTGCTCACATGAGGCTTCTTCAATGAGCTTTGAGTGACCACTGGAAAATCTCTTGGAATCCTCTGTTCTTTCTTGTGACACTGCTGAGGTTTTTCTGGAGAATGTCTTGATGGCTGGATCATGCCAACACTCTGATCAGCATCCCACTGTCTCTACCATCCATATTTCCATCTTTTCACTGATGCATCTCTTATGAATTGGGTATATATCTCTCTCTGGATGATTCCATTACCTCAGAAGATTGGTCTCCTGTGGAGCATACCTTCAGCATCAGTTCTGGAACTCTTGGCCTCCCATTGGGTGTGTTTCTATTTCCTTCTTTTTGTATATCACTTGGTTGTGATCCACTCTAATAATTCTATGGTCATTTCTTGTATCAGTCATCAGGGTTGGGTTCACTCCAGAGACCACCTTTGCTTCTTCATATTGGACTTTGTTTTTGGGCCCACTCACATTGGATTCATCTGACAGGTTGATATATCCCATCAGCTTTAAATTTGGTGGTGGATTGACTTTCAACAAGACAGGAGTATTTCTACAGAGTAGTCATTCCATTCTCACATATTTCATTGGATTTGTGTCCAGTTGAACACGCCAACGATCAATGTTTTTGACACTCTTCCCAATATCAAACTCACCTTTTTGTAATGTCAGGTACTTCACTCAACAGCTCTGACTGTGGATGCCCTCAATAGGACTGGTCTTATCTCTTTTTGTATACGTACCATCCTCTTTGCCTTCTCCCATGTGTCTTGGCATTTGAGTTGTGATGCTTCTTTTTGGGTCCTGTTAATAGCACATCTTTGACCAGCTCACTCTTGATTTTCTCTTCTTCTTCTTCTTCATTTACTGGCAAAGTGGATCATTTAAGAAGTTAACATTTTCCTTACTTGAAAATGTATTTCTGATAAATATTACCTTTCTGCACATCTTCCCACTACTGATTCACATTATTCTTGCTCTGTTTTAGTTAATTTCAAGTGCTTGTGGGGATCTACTGCACATGAAGGATGTGTTGCCTTCCTGTTAGTTGAGAGGTATTACATCATGCACTAGTACATTTCATGCTATAACACGTGTCTTAGGTGGGAGATGGCTGCTTTGTGGCATGCACTAAATCTCAAAGGCAGATGCAGGAAGAATAGTTGCTGTGTGATGAGGTAAGTATCTATGGGAAATACATATCCAGGTAAGAAAAATGTGAACTTTGAAAGCTGCCTTGAAAGTGAAGGATAGATAGGTGAGGCTTCTGTTTTAAGTTGGGATAAGTTACTGCTATCTCAGCAAACAGAGAACTTAAGATATTGAAACTGTACATTTGACATTGACGTTAAGAGGACAGTTACTCATAAAAAGCAGGAAGAAAGAAGGGACATGTTTTCTCACTTCACATTAATAGAAGGTAATATTATACATATGATTTAGCAACATAAAACTTTATTTTGTGTGAAATGAGTATTTTGAATTAAAAATCTATATATGTGTGTGTACTATATTTAATACAGTTCTGATTTGTTACCTCACTTGTAGGCAATTTGCTTTTAAACTTGATAAATGTATTTGTTTCTTTCAAAATAGATACCGCAAACTTGCCTTAAAATGGCATCCAGATAAAAATCCAGATGACAAGGAAAAAGCAGAATTCATGTTTAAAAAAATTTCAGAAGCTTATGAAGTTCTTTCAAATGGTATGTATAAGACAGTACAAAGACTTGTATGTTAACAACTATATGAAGACAGTTTTTATATGTAGTATCTAAAATTTCCTTTATATGGTATTCTTTCTCATTCACTTCACTGGTTTGTTAATAAGGTTAGTATTCCAAAAATACAATTCTCAACTGGCCCATGGGTTCTGTTTCTCAATTTGACTTGGTATGTTTTCATATCACACCTGACATGATGGTAAACAATATAAAGAAAACTTGAGGATTAAATCTAGCTGGAAAAGTGGGATAGTTTTAAAGTCTTTTTGCAATTAAAGAGTATAAAAGTGTATGAATAAAAACCTCAGACAAAGGAAGAAGCTCAACAACATATACTCCCTGGTTATTTTAGGAATGTAGAATAAGTAAAAACTGTAAAAATACATCTTTTAAATAATCATACATGAAATGTCATAATTAGGATATATATGGAGTTGAACACCTTTAAAAAAAAGGCTAAAAAACACCCTTGTACCTTAAATATTGTATGTGATTGTCTCACTGTTAGAGATGGAACATTGTACTGAAAAATTATCTCGCAAATAGTTGTTTCAAATTTTGATATAACACACAGTTGAAATAGACAGAAAGAAAAATGTCAGACATGTGATTATTTTGAGTGGATTACTAGGACTGTGTTCTCTAATAGTGTAGTATATTGGCACATTTATATGTAATGCAACTAATTTTTAAAATGCTTTGAATTATTCATCACAAGATATTGCTACCTATATAATCACAATAATCATGATATTGCAAGCATTTTCAATATTTGAATTATGTTTCCACTGTGTCCTGGATTTTATTTATTGCACTTCGAAAAAATAATTATAGAGAACATGAATTTGCAGTGATAAATGTTTTTTTTTTTCCAGTTATTTTTCCTTTACTGAAGGCAAAACATGTGTAACAGGTGATAAGTATTTGTTCTCAGAAGTTGTTATTTTGGATCATTAATAATCAATCAGCCAGTATACTTACAGATCTTATCTGATAACAAATTTAGCATGCACAGTTTGTGACAAAAATGATGCACTATTAAAGTTCATTTGCTGCTTATATAAAAACTGATTATATATATATATCTAATAAAAAAAATTATAAGTGGTGCAGAGTATCGATTAAAACAGTTATAGATAGTAGATCATTATTCTTCATTGTATCTTTTTTTTAATCATCAGAGTACTTAAATTATAAAATGACATGAAGAACTCAACACTTTCTTTTTTTTACTGTACTGAAATTCAGAATATTCCCAACTAAATAGTAACTTATTTTATGCTTAATGACATAACAATTACTGATTGATCTAGTCATCTTAGAATTCACACCATTTAAATATTTGTGAACACTTTTTACATGGGTTTGAACATTAAGTTGATTATTTAACACTATAAGCTGATAGACTGATAGTTTAATAATTGTGAGTAATCATTATCAGTAGCTAAAAATTTTCCAAAGTTTTTTTTATGTAATTTTAAAGTTTAAGTAATATGTAAGTGGTGTTTTAACTCAACTTTAAAATAATTTTAAGAAGTTAATACAGTGAAGTGTTATTGCTTTTTAAAAAGAAGAAAGTTAAAATTGTTCAAGTATTAAAATGATATTAAAATGTTTTACTTTTAAATTTTTTCTCTCTGTCTTTTAGAAAAGAAACGAAGAATATATGACCAGTATGGAAAAGAAGGATTACTTGGTCAAAGAGGCCAGGGCACTTACCACAACAGAGAGTCAATGTTTGCCTCTGACTTTGGACCTATGTTTAATTTTGCATTTCGAGACCCAAATGAAATCTTCAGAGAATTTTTTCAAAATGATCCATTTGCTGAATTTTTTGGCAAACCTTCCAGAAAGTCTAGAGCAACCAATTCCAGTAAGTTTAAGTAATCTAATCAAGTGCTTTCATGTTTCTCTGTCATACAGTAAAGATTACTTGAATATATGTGTATAACACTATTAACCCTTTCACAATGGGCATGGTATAAAATACCAAGTCTATATACACATTTGCACTCGTTAAGTATTTATACAATAACTTTTAATATAATATGTGTATCTTCACAAAGTTTGGTAGACTTTTGAGAAATATTACAAGTCTTTTATACACAAAAAATCAGATGTTTTAATGAAGTATTTTTATGAAAGATTTGTTTGTGAATATATTGAGTATTTTTCGTTAATAGTCCAAGTACAAAGTGATTTTCATGTTATGATTAAAAATGATATTTTTTGTCCCAAATATCTCAAATTTCATTTACATAATCTCTGAAACCTCCTAAGTACATTTCAAATGTTTGTTTTGAGTAACACTTTATATTTTCTGTTATTTTCTCTACCCTAACTATACAAGGTTGGTCAATTTAACCAACCTCGTAACCACCAAAAAAAAGTAGCTTTAAAATCATAACAGTATAAAACTATTTGTAATTAAATTTTGTTTTATTGGTCTTTTTAGTTTTACATTTTAGTTACTTTCATAAGAATAAATAAAGGATACACATCAAAAACAAGAAATAAAATACTTACATGGACTTTTTTTTTCTACTTTCTAGGACACTTAACCCTACTTTTTATACTAATTGTTGTAATGCACTAAATTTTGACTTAATTGAATAAATTAAATAATTGAACTTAGAATAATAACATACAAAAAACAGACAATGTCCCATAACTTTCACAATTTTTACTGGCTTTCTAAGTATGCGACAAGAGCTGTTATAAATTCATCCAAGCTAGTCGATATGTTGCCCATGTGAATGAAGCTTGTACTAAAAGAGAAATTAACAATTCTCTTTACAGAAAACAATGTAACATAATATGTCATGTGATAGATGAAAACCTTGGCTTTCTGTTGGTTCTAAATAATATACTATTAAACGTAAGAGAGAACTATTAAGAAATCCTGAAAGAGAGTATGTGACAGGTGGGTGTAGCAAGAGGGGTATGATTTTCTATTTGATGGCTCTGTAATCAAACAAGATTGAAGGCTATAAAAACTATGGTTTGTCTGAGCGATGACAATTTGATAGTGAGGAATTTACATTAAATTCTGTACTTACTGCAGGGGTAGTAAATAAATTGCAGAAGAGAAAAAATGTCATTTCTCACACTATGGGAAATTCAGGATTTTTTTTTTTACATTGCCTTATAAAATTAAGAACTTAATCTGTATACTATTAAAATATGTATTATTAGCTACGATTTTATACTATACTAATTGGTATAGCATAAAGAAAAAGTAGTTTAATTACATTTTGGATGCAAGTCACGAGAAACCTTGTGACGTGCAGTAAAGGATGCCTGTGCAGAAAGGGTTAATGGAACGGTAATAGTACATATTACACCAGTTAGAAATCAAAACTGAATACAGAGGAGCCTATTTTTTTTTTATGATTATGTTTTGGTATTGAATCTCTTCATTTATAAGTTTGGATAAATAAGTAGAAGTATTATTTTTAAGCTGTTTAGGATAAACATTTGTTGTTTCCTGTTTTAATTTGCAGTCATTCTAGAAAGAAAAAAGGATAATTTAGATTTATGTCCTAATTTTTTTATGGTGGTTATGAGGTCGGTCGACATAACTGACCATGAATATAGTTAGGGTAGAGAAAATAACATATAATGTTTTTCTGATAAAACATTGGATATTTATTTTGGAGGTATTAGAAATTATTTCAAATGAAATTTGGCAATTTCCAGATGAAGAAAAGTATTTTTAATCTTAACATGAAAATCACTTTGTACTTGGAGCATTCAACACTTTGAGTGAGTTTGATTCCTTATATTTACGGAAAATTTTTTGGTAAAAATACTTTAAAAAATCACTTTTTTTTGTGTACAAAAGACTTGTAATGATTACTGATATTTTGCAAAGTTTGTGAAAATATGCATACATTATCAATAGTTATAATATGATAATGGATTCTTTAACCTGTATGTTCTGAGTGTAAAGTTTAACAGTGTTGGCTGATGTGTTTTATAACCTATTATGTCTTTAAATGACAAACTTTATGGTTTGTATATGAATGGAAAAACTTGCAGTATGCGTGTATAATGAGGGTGCAGACCCTTTTTTGTTTTAAAGAGAATGTAGAAAAGCATTGGTTTATTGGTGGGTAGAGCAAGATGAAATTATTACTTAGTTTTTTATGCTAAATAGTGATAAGATCAAAGTAACAGTGATTGTAGCAGTTTCCATGGCCATGATGATCATGTAAAACTTCTAAGTTAGTATCAACAGTAATTTTGGAGGTCTGAAAAATGTTAGCCTTGAAAATTGATTCATTCATGTTAAAAGTATGTGATAAAAAAAAAAAAAAAAATAGCAATAACAGTCTTTAACTTCTAACTATTAATCCTAATTCTCAGTAGTCTGTCTGTATACTACAGAAAGCTTCTGTTTAAGCAATAAACGAAAATTACTGAGCAATTTCAAGAAAAAAAATTATATTCTGAAATTGTTTGTTTAGTGTTTTATAAGCTGTATCTTGTAAACAATTCTGATACCACATATCTCATTTTTCTATAATATATATATATCATATCTGCAAACCTTTTCAGTTTTTCTAAGCTATAATTTGAATATGCTAAGTCTGATCAAGGCTGTGTGCTGAATTTTACCTTACAGTAGATTAATTTGTGTAGCAGGGTCTGATCACTGAAGCTATCTACTGTTTCTTGAGATGTTTTATTGTGCCCTACATCACTTTGTGTGGTGAGACTGCTCCGTGACTGTCACAAGGAACAAAGATTCTTCTGGATTCTTGCAATCCTATTTATGATTGGTCAGCTATAAAGAGTACAAGAATCATGATAGTTGTTTTGGCACTTTCAGAGACATGAACTTCTGCTTTAAAAGGGCCAAGGCCTGCTAAAAACTGCATGCCCATTATTGTATGAGCCATCATGCCTTTCAATATTTTTATTTTAGTTTTACTTTACTTTAATTTCATCACACTTATTTTTTTCCTACACTTGTTCTCATTCTAACATCCTACCAAACCAAATATTTGAATCTCATTGTGTGGGAGTAGTTTTTCTTTATCAGTAACTTTGAACTTCTAAGTGTAGCAGGGAATAATTAGTAATTTAGCTAAAAGTTTTCTTTTTCTCCATTAATATTTTTGAAAAACACTTCAAATAGAATTTAACCTTGTAGCCTAGCTTTATTTTTACATTTATGGTTCTATCTCATTTCCATGGATACACTAAAACAATCATCAACAAGAGTTTCAGAGAAAACATCTCGGTACAATATAAACAAAAAAGCTTATTTAATATCCAAACCATTTACTCTCACAAACACCACAATAATTCTTTACTTGTTGTGTTAATCCAAATTCTTTTATTGATAGGAACTATATTTACCTGTAAATTACATTTTATTGTTACTTCTACATGATAACTTTTAACTTGAAAAATACCAATTTTACTTGGTTTGACATTCATACTTTCTATAACTAGGTGTCACTTAACACTTTTTGGAAAATTTCTTCAAACTTAGCTTAGTTTTCAGAAATTGTTTAATATTGTAACAGCTTTAAAATGGAAATGTTCCTATTAATTAATTAAATTTACAATATTCCCACTGCAAAACTTCCACAATATTAAATTTAATCACTCAGTGTGATCCTTATCTTTTAATATTTAATAATTTAATTTGTTGGTGATATTAAATTATCCTGTAACATTTTATTCAAAGTTGTGCCAATTTCAGTTGTTCATTTGAGAAGTTTTGCTGTAAAAGTGATTTTCTTTTCTTTGAATTTAAACTACAGTAAACAAGATGTATTTGGTTTGTAACACAGCCCACTGGTGGAAGTTAATATGTTTGTATTATTAGAAGTTTGTCTATTAGAAGTTACCCATACTTTCTAGTAGGGTTGTTGTTAGTATTTTACTAAATTTTTATTTAATATATCTAGTTTAGAACAAAATAATAATACTCACAAAGAATACAGTATCTTATAACTACTATAATTTGACTGGCTTTCTAATTAAGTTATAAGTGGTTTAAACTAATTCATTTGGCTGGTCAGGGTGACTTCGCAACAACAACAGAATGAAACTGTAGGTTGAATAATTCAAAATCTATCATCAGAATAAGCTATCCTTATAAGGAATTCAGTTGGTTATAAATAATATAATAGCAAATGTCAGAGAGAATTATTAACATTAATAGTATGTGATAGGTAGGCATGGCATGTGGGTTTGACTTTGATTTATATATCAGTAAAGCAAGGTGATCGGAGGCTATGTAATTAGAGTACATCTTGTGTGCAATTTCCAACACACCAGCACAATGAGGAATATAGAAATGCCGACTTCACACACTTGCATTACTTCCTTCAATCTCTTTTTTTTTTTTTTCATTAATATTTGATTAATTTGTTGCAGTCTGTGAAGAATGTGATAGCATAAGCCACATTAATTGATATGATCAATCTTTCCATTTCCAGTCAGTCTGTTAGATTTAGCAAATATTGCCCTTATATATGGCCACCTTGGTATGGTGTGTTAAAGGTGGTAATTTTTCCAAAAATTGTCCTTTTTTTGAAAAGTTTCTTCTTAGCTATGTATCTGTGTATTTGCTTGTCCTGTCATAAATGACAACAATAAACTTCCCTAACTCATGAACACACTCACCTGACATATTAGCAGGGCAACATGACAATAAACAACACTTCTCCAAAGCTTTCTTCCTGTCAGGAATAGGAAAACTATGTCACATCCAGAAAACCATAAATAAATGATTAAATATACATATATATTAGCTCATAAAGAGTTAGCAAATTTGAAAATTTCATGAATGGAAAAACTGAGCTGTTAAGTTTAAAAAAAAAACATTATTGTATGGATTATGTCATGTACAACTCGGAAGAAGTTCAGTATTTTTGAAATGTTGAATAGCATTGAAATATTTTTACAAGTTGTTGAATTTGTGGCTGCAAATTGCTTTAACCCCTGTATTCGTAAATCTTAAAAAAACATTAGGTGCTTTATGGATGTGTGTGTGTGTGTGTACATGCAGGAAAGAAAGAGTAATACAACTACATCTCCTTACCCTGGACAACAATGTTTTTAAATTAACATTAGGAAAGCAAATGTGGAAGTTAATGTGTTGATGAAAAATCACCTGATTGAAATAGTTAACACTGCTTGTTATTGTTTAGATCCACTGTTTATAATTAATTTTTAGAAATTGTGCTACTGAATGTTAACAGTAAAAAGCAAAAACAACATTTTTTGACACAATGAAAAATAAATTGTACTAGTTGTTTCTTCTGATTATGTATGCAAACTCAGCCCTGATGATGGTGACTTTTAAAATGAACAAATAATTTTAATTTTGGTGTTCCCTATGAATCAGATAATAAAGTACATTTACTGTAAACTGTATGATTTAGTTAAAATTAAAGATTATGGAATTACTAACTAAATGCATAAAAAAACGTTTTGTACCAGAAGAATGTTAAGTCTTATTTTAGTCAAATTTTATCTATCATTTAACTAGTTTAAACAAATATTTGTATATAAATAATTGAAAAGTAACATTACAGAAATATTTTGTAAATAACTTTGTAAATTTCTTTGGAGAAGTAATACCTACTGGAGTTATTTTTTAATGTAATTATTTTAGCTGCTGTTAATAGGAGAGAAGACCCTTTCTTTGGGATTCCAGGGTTTGATATAGGGTTCTCAGGGTTCTTCAATGGAGGATCACTCAATCAAGGGTATGTTAACTTTAAGTTGTGTGGTGTTTGTATTTTAGTACATTAGTGTTGATAATTTACACTACTTACAATAAATACTGTAATTATAATAGCAAGCATTTTTTAAAGTTAGAACAGTATCACAATGCTAGAATTAAGAGATAGATATAATTATTTATACTGTATTCTAGATTTTTAAGAGTGATTAAATTTCAGATAAGATCATTCATCTCTGTACACAGATAGCTATTTTCCTGTTGAAATTGTGCAATCTGCCTGAGAGACTTGCATCCACCAGCATTGTGAAAATTCCCACCTAAAATTCATGTGAAAGCACGTGAATTTAACTGCATGATGATGTATCATTTAGCTAAACCCTCCACCGGTAGCAATGCAACATACCTCCTTGCACAAATCATCACTCTATGTTTTTACATGAAAATCCTTACTCTTTTTTACAGCACAGTCATATGACAACATGTTTGTTTTTCCTGAGACTTGTTAAGTTTTTCACTTCAACTACTTTGTTTTCAAATAATTGGTATGAATTCACAATCTATCCCTGGTAAGATTTTGTTAAAGTTTATAGGTATCTTGTACACAAAAAGTGACATTATTTTAATTGTCTTTGTAATAAAAATGTTATTTATCTATAGCAGTTATTTGCATTCACATTGTGAATAGTTTGAGTGAAATGTGATTTTCATTTTAAGTATAAAAATACTTTTATTCATCTTATAGTTTCATATTTCATTTGCATAATCTCTAGAACCTCCTAAATGTAATGAATATCAGAAGCTTTTTAAGGTGTATATATATTATATTTTAATTTTTTCATTTTCTCTGCCACATCAATAACTCTAGCTATTATCATCAAAATACATGCAATGAAATGATTAAAATTAGAAAATAGAAAAAAGTCTCTAACTTTTAATTTTTTGTACAGTATCTTTAAAGATATTCTTTTGGCTATATTCATAATTTCAGGTCTTTTTCTTTTCACTTATAGTAAATTTTTAATCTTTTAATTTCCTTTCTTGTCCTTTACTATTTATTTTTCATCTTGATACAAGTCAGTGGTGCCTTTGCAGCATATTACAGTGTTTCTAGCAGAGATGTACAAACCTTTGGAAATATTTTCGTGCACTGTGTAATATTGTAAGCCTTGAGAACTGATTCAAAGTATGATGCATATTTAAAAAATGTTTAAACATTTCAATTATGCATCTTAAAACATAATTAACTAAAATACAGAAGTAAGGCCTAAATACAATTTAAACTGTAGCTCTGACTATAACATGTTTAGGAAAGAAACAACATAAGTGCTATGGTCAATCAAGCAGCCAACAATACTGCAGTCAATTACATGTACTCCATGACAAGAACTGGGTACCAATTTCAAAATAACTTTTGTTAGATTATAGTGCACAATGAGCTCTTTCTAATGACTATATACATGTGTATGTAACCTCTACATGTGGGCTATAAAGCTTAAATCTGTTGAAGGTGAGCATGGCATCTGTCAGGGGTTAACAAAAGTTATTACTTGTTTCAACTGTATTCATCCAGACATCTTTGAAATGTACATGCCAATAGGTTAAGTAAGCTTCTTATATTCTAGACATGCATCTACACAACTGCTGTTGTATTATTGAAAATATAGAGTGCCAAAATAGAGAAGTGAGTCACATTTAACTTTGAATCATAACATATATTGTAATGTTAATTTCCTTCACATGAATTGATAGTAAAGGTGTTTAATTAAATTTTGAATATAACAAAGGACTTTCACAGAAAAGTGTTTAAATGGGTACCTGTTGCAAAAGGGTTAACATGAATGCTTCTTCAACAGATGTGAGTGAAATAACCCTTTCCAGATGGGTCACAGGTGAAAAGCCATGCCTCAAATTCAAAATTTTATTGACAATATTTCATGAATTTATGTCAATAAGTTTGGTATCAAACTGTAAATTAAAATTTTAGTATTATACCTTGCTTAATTTCTTAATTTAAAAGTAAATATTAAAAAATACAGTTAAACATCAATATTTGTATGTCACATGGTAGGTTTAATGCAGCACTTGTTCAAATTAGATATTTGTGATGTCAAAAGTCTATAGTTTTGTGTGGATTAGGAGCTCAAATTACCAATATTGACAAGCTAGAATATAAAATAAAAGCCTCTTATCTTTTCAGTTTAAGATATTGCTCCTGGCACCCCGCCTACCTCTTTCCATTTTTGGAAATGCTCCCTTAGATACACTTCTATATATGACATGAATAACCAAGTGGCTTTCTCAGCCATTTTAATGTGCTTGGATGCCATATCTTTCTTTTGAACCAAAATTTTCAAGAGGTAGGTTGTGTCTTTAATCTGCTCAAAATTTCATATTTTGTTAGATTGAAATACAGTTTAGTTGCTAAGCTTGATAAATTATAGTGGAACTCTATAGTATTGATATAGTAACTTATGATTTTTTGGATATTCAACTGTGTATATGTATAAAACCTAAAAAAATATTTCATTTCATATCCTCCATGTGCAAAATTTTAGCAACCTACGTCAAGCAGCAACTGCGTACAAAGGTCATAACTAGAAGAGATAATTGTTTGCTTTATTTCTTTATTTACTGTTTTATGTTTTAAGAAAAATAAGTTATTATACATATATAATGTATAATAATTGAAATGTGACTGTATTTTACAAAATACTAGTCTACTAAAACACAGCCAAGACAGGTCACTTTGTAAAGACTGAAGGTTAGTTTTATATTAGATACTGCAACATGAGGGCACGTGTGTCTTGTCATTAACTTCTTGAATATTTTAAGACAATGCACAGTTATTCTTGAAATGTATCTGATATTCTAATATTTAGGGTTACTCAAGCAACCCATATCTATAAATTGTGTACACTAGTTTTTTATTCTATTAGTGTTTAAAGATATGGTA